TGCTCCAGTTTTGTCAAGCCAGCCTTTGTGCCTCACTGCGAGGTTCCGAGCCTAACGTGTTAGGGCTTAGGGGTGTTTTACAATTCCCCCTTTTGTACTGTTTCACTGTCCTGTATAGACTGAATGTTTACCGTACTGTTATCTAGGGTTGAGTCCTTAGTCTGAATGATTGTAAATATTGTGCATACCGTTCTGTACTGTTTACGTATAAATGTATGAAAAATCTTTTGATATAGACTGTCGCAGCTCATTGGGCATTGTTTATTTACTGTTTTGGCTTCCGCCAGGCCCTGTACTCTGTTTTACTGTACTACTGTTCTGCAGGCCTGTGGTAATCTCGGATTACTGGCCGGTTACGGTGCTAAACCCATAGGGCCGGGTTTGGGTCGTGACAGTCGGAGTAGTCGACACAGAGTCGCTATTTACCGTTGTTTTTACGGACCAGGACCACTTTTGACAGTCATCTGGGGTAGTCCACATTTTTGATAAACTGTGCCTCAAGGAGCTTATATACTTTAGAAGCGATAAGAGTATTTCGCTCCGGGTGAAAGATGCGCTGCTTCTGGCAGAAGGATCGGGAATGGGGCTCAATGCTGAGACAATGAGTGATAAAGGAGGGGTCAACATCCGGCATGTCGGAGTGGGTCCAGGCAAGTACATCGTTGTGCTCAATCAAAAGGGTAGTAAGGTCGGCCTTGGCCTGGGAGGATAGTTGGCTGCCGATCTTGGCAGTTTTTGTCGGGTTGATGGGATCGATGAGGACCTCAACAAGCTCTTCTATTGGTTTCCCTCTGACCAGCTCGTCATCGTCTCTGACGTCGAGCCCTTCGATGATCATAGCCTCTTTTAGCTTGACCTCTTTAAGTGAAGCGACGTAACATTCTCTGGCCACGATCTGCTCTCCCCTCACCGTGCTGACCCCAAGGTCGGTGGGGAATTTGACGGCAAGATGGAAAGTGGAGGTGATAGCTTGGAAAGCATTTAGGGCGGTGCGACCGAGGATGATGTTGTAAGTAGAGGGACAGTCGACGACGAGGAAGGTGAGCAGCTTTGTGGCCCGCCGCGGGTATTCTCCAATTGTGATGGGAAGATCGATGGAGCCAATGGAGGTCACCCGATCTCTAGTAAAACCGATCAACGAGGTTTGAAAAAGGGACAGACTCTCTTCCCCGACCTTGAGCTGGCGAAAGGCATTTAGAAAAACAATGTCTGAAGAACTGCCGTTGTCGATGAGAACCCGTCTGACTTTGTAATTAGAGAGGAGAGCAGAGATGACGAGGGGGTCGTCATGGGGGTAACGGATGCCTGTGCAATCGGCCTCCGTAAAGGTGATGGGCTCCATCCACTGCTTGGGTTGTTTGGAACGGCGGTCCAAAGTGGCAACTTTTTTGTCTGAGCCCTGCCTTATTTTTTTGAGTTCTGCCCGCTGAGTCGAACGCGATGGTCCTCCACAAGCAAGTCCGTCAGTAATAACTCTGATCTCTCTAACAGGGGGGGCGGGGTTACCTTGTGCCCAGGGTTGCTGTAGAGGGCGATTATGACCTTGGTTAGGTTGTGCTAGTTGTCGAGGAGGGGTGCGCCGACGGTTGTTTCTGATGGATTCAGTCATTTGCCTCTGCTGAGGGTGGGCTTCCGTGAACCGACTAAGACGTCCCTGACGTATTAAGCCCTCGACCTGGTTTTTGAGGTTAACACACTTCTTCGTATTATGGCCGTGGTCTTGATGAAAGCGGCAATATTTGGACTGGTCTTGCCAGTTGGAAGGAGAGCGTGGCGGTTGAGGCCATTTTAGGGGATAATCTCGTTGAATTTGATTTAAGACTTGTTCCATGGGGGAGTTGAGGGAGGTGTATAGTTTGAACCAGCCGGCCAGTCGGGTTGATGCCGATCGGTCAGCTCGGGGTGGTTGGTTGGTATACTATACTGAGGTGTTTGGTGAGTGTACTGGGTGTTTCTGGTTTCTGAGTCATTTCTCTTCTCTCTGGGGGTTGAGTTTTTGACTGTAGGATCCTGTCGGGCGGCTAGGGAATCTTCGGCGTTCATGTATTTTTGGGCTTTGGAAAGTAGGGTTGCCATAGAGGTCGGGGGGTTTTTGGAGAGGGAAAAAAGGAAATCAGATGATCGTAGATCAGTCATGAAAGCCGTGAGAATGACCTTGTCATCATTTTCTGCCACCTGCAAGGCCTCGGTGTTGAAGCGGGTGACGAAGCTGCGCAGCAACTCTCCCTCCGTCTGACGGATATTAAGGAGTTGAGTTGCCGAACGCCGTTGGCGCTGGGTACCAATGAAGTGGCTGAGGAATGAGTCACTCAGGTGCTGAAAAGTAGAGACAGAGTCCGTCAGTAGCTGACTAAACCACAGTCGGGCTGACCCCTTAAGTGTTACGGGAAAAGCCCGACACATGATTTCATTAGGGAATGCATGAAGGATCATGAGGGTCATGCAGGTCTCCAAGTGATCGACTGGGTCTGTTGTACCGTCGAAAGAGTTAATCGAGGGCATTTTAAACTTAGGAGGTAGAGGTTTGTCCCTGATGGAGGCAACGAATGGTGAGTTGGCTGTGGTAGATGGTTTATGTTGTATGTTCTGCATGACTCCTTGGAGCTGGAGCTTCATGGCTCAGAGTTCCGTGTCCCAGAGTGGAACGTTGTCATCACCGGAATGCAGCGGGGGTTGGACACTACTGGCCTCTTCCTCGGGTGTGGGTGTTTGGACCGATAGAGGTGGGACCTGGGGTGGCTGGTTTATATCTGGGGGAGGGGGTCGCAACCTTCCAAGTTGGGTGGATGGGGCTGCTGGATAGTATGGCTTGGGGCTCGTTCTTGGTTGGCTGGGATATCTAGAGGTAGTAGATGAGGTATATGAAGGTTTCTTTAGAGTAGAGCATTAATCAGGGCTTGGTTTTGCTTGGCAAGGAGGTTAATGCTGTTGGTGAGCTCAGTGAAATATTGTGGCGGGTTGTTTGGATTGGAAGGGTCGGCTTGGTGGTCGGCAACATTGTGGTGAGAAGCCATGGATCTAGTCATGACCATTCACCCTGGTGGGTGCGCGGGATGGGGTTATTGGGAAAGGGTCTCCGGCGACAATGAGCACAACTGGCGCGCGAAGCAAAAGATTTCCCATAGACGGCGCCAACTGATGATACAACGTGTTCCAGATAGAACGGGTTAGACTGATTCACGCTTCCTAAACCAGTGTCTGAGGTACCAAGCCCACAGAGGAACCTGCACAAGAGTTCAACGGGGAACGGGGAGTCCCCCAGCGAACCCTCCGACGAACAAGTTAGAAAAAGAGGTGGAATGTAGAGATAAATTAGAGATAAAAAGTTTCACCTTCTTCTTGTCTTCGACGTCTGCTTATATTCTCTGGTAATCATTTCGTTGTCCCTTCCGACCTGTCATCTTGGCCGAAAGTCTATGTTCTAACTTGCCTTGTTCATGGTGAGGCCGTTCTGTCTCAACGGGGAGGGGCTATCGCAATAAATGTTGTATGGGGCTTCATTAATGGCTGATGTGCAGTGCAATAACTTTGCAGGATCTTTATCTGCTTATGTGGCTTGTCCTTTGCTTGTCACGTGTTTAGATGTCATTGGTTCTTAATGCCATGTTGAGCTCCAACAACGTTGGACTTTAGTATTTGAATTATGTATTGGGCCCTAAATGGTAGGTTATAACCTTTATGGGCTTACCCATGTTAGTCAACATCCCAGAAAATTTGAAAAGCATCCACAATCTCTCTTTTCTCTTCAGACCCAACAAAGAAATGAAAAAAAAAATTTATTAGGATTTGAATCTACACATATGTGTACTCAGGTGGGTTTAACTTCGGAACTTCAAAGCCGAACTAATATATATCATTCAAAAATTAATTGCTGAAAATATATATTAACAAATTCGGGAGTAGAGAATCGAAAACACAATATAATTCTTCAATGGAGTTGTCTTCACTGTGGATCTTCAATGGAGTTATTTTCACTGCGTGACTATGTTTACCGTGGGTGTGTGAATGTGTTTCAATGTGAGTGAAAATCTTTATTTAGGTGGTGTGTATACAAGATTTGAGTTAAAATTATAATTGGAATATGTACGTTATGTTTGGTAACTTAAGAGAAAAAAAAAGAAATTATTACTTCAATTATAAAAGAATTGAAAAGAAATAATTATAAAAATAACATAATATATATAAAAATAATATATAAATTAAGATATGATGTACACAAAATAAAAATGTGTGCGCGAGTGGAATTTGTGCACCACATCCATTAAATGACTTAAAGTAGAATATAAAAATATAACAAAAACAAAAAGTTATCAATTTTGATGATGAGATGGTTTGAATATTCTAAAAGCATTCTTTAAGATTACAATTATTTTACTAGGATTTTTTTTAAGTGTGCAACTTACACCTTACACTTACGCCTTTCTCTTTGTAAATTTAAATCTTAGGATCTTGACATACATATCCAAAATTAGATATGGGTATGGGGACACGTCATATATACATATATATTGCATATTATATAATATTCTCGGATGAAATGTTATAAATAAATTATATAGAATTACTTGAAACACACACATTAATGTGTTCTAATTGGGTGTTATTTTTTTACTTGAAATTGAATAAGATTCAGGAAAAATATGAAACTTTTATATCTAATTCATGTGAGAAGCTAAAAATATTGCTTTACTAGCAAATGTGAGTTTCTTCTTCTCGTATATTGTAACAAATAAAGGATCCGAGTGTCTAAATTAGGTACAAATGTCAACTACATATCCCACACCCTTACCCATGCCAATATCCGATGGACACTGAGGAAAATAGAAGAGTCCGTATAACACAGGTTTTCCCTTTGTTTTTCCATTGTCAATAGACATAACCATACCTACTTGTTATGCATCTAAATATAGCATGAATCAGACAATATTTCAAATAATATAGATATTTCGACAAAAGCTAAAAGATAAAAACTACCAACTTCCATTGAAAATCTTTATGAAGGGTCAGACACCTAACATCCATGATCCAACATATAGCGGTCCCACAAAACTATTTGATACATTTAGGTAAAATTAACAATGAATGCAATGAATTAACAAAACCTCCCACACCAAACTAATACTTCGGCTAGCATTTTGTTTTCATATTAGTTTTTTTTTTTTTTTTTATTTGGGGTTTTGTGGGGGGGGGGGGAGGGGAACACAAAAATGCATAAGCCAAGGGGGTGCAACCACAGTACGCAAAAGTTAAAAAGTAGCATCTTATTTCCTATGTTAGTTACAAAAGAATTATTAAAATAAATAATAAAAAATAAAAGCAACTGAATCATCTAGTAACCAATATTTAACACCTAGCTTAAAAGAATACCCCAAAAAAAGGAAGAAGAGTTAGGCACTAACTACAAACAGGATGTGTGCGTTTAAAACTTCTAGGCTTTATATCTCACTACAAGGCGCTACCAGCCAAAATTTATTAATCCTATAACATCTACAAATACCGTAAACAATCTATTACTTCACCAAGCATAATTCAGAGCTTTCTGTGAGATCACACAACATTTTGATATCCATACTCAAGGATCTAAGTTAATCTTACCCTGAAGGGTGCTGATCATCTCCCAGACCTCTTTCAATTATTGTTGTTGCTCCAAGATCAGAAATTCTTTTATCAAGCTTCTTTGCAACAAACTGCAGCAATAAAAACACAAATACGTTTCAACTCAAAGCATTTTTATTACATTTCTTAGTTGATCTAGCTAGTGTACAAATACCATAATCTAATTGTATGAAAGCTCAGTAACTTGCGTCAATCACATTTTCTATTCAAACACAATGCGGGAAAATCTGGCAAAATTGAAACATTCAATTTGACAAACAGCTCAACAAGTCAAAAGTAGTTATCAATATTGGAACTTCTGAACACAGAACAATTGGCAACTGTCCTCGTAATTAACATTCTGATAGATGACATCAACAGGCTTAGAAATATAGGCTGATGACCTATAAAACTTAACAATGAAGAATCTACAAGCAAATACAAGACCATAATCTATGAAATAGAAATATGATACCATCTAAAATGTGAAGTACATTTACACTGAAAATCAATTTATGGAAACAATATGAGCATCCAAGTCTCTGCATCTACCTCTGCTCTAGGATTCATTTATTTCTTTTATACCAAAATTGTGAAAAAGGTGACACTTTTGGTAACAAATGGCCTTTTGGTGCTTTTTGTATCAAACCAATTATAGTCTAGCGATTATCCAAGAGATGCAAGATCCTCTCTGAGCCATGAGGAATAGGCCCATAGGACAAAAACAAATGAACTACACATAACAAAACAAGCAATCCACTAACTCCAAATCAGATTCATAAAGAATGCACCACCAAACAAAATAGTCCAATGTTTGTCATTGAGGTAGTCCATCATATAAATCCAATAAGAAAAAAATATTAAAAACCATGGTATGAATAAATCAAGGCCCTTTATTATAGACTCCTAATGTTTCATATTTAGGAAATCTTTCGTCTTTTGCCTTTGAGTCAAAGAAAACCCTGGGAAAGGAAATCGCCAAGAAAAACGTACTAGAGTCCATACCCACCCTCAATTGCATATCTCCAATAAAAGTTTTTATTTTTTTATTTTTTATTTTTTTTCTCATAGAAAAAGAAAATTGCCAAGGAAACAAGCTAATCATATTAAGTATTTTGTAAGTGTGGAATTATTAGAAGATTTAATTAGCTTGATGATCTGTCAGCAGTTTCCTGTTTTATTGCTTTCTATTTTAGATAAGTTTGATTCTATTCTAGGTAAGTTGTAAATATCCCTATAAATTAGATGAGTATTATCATCTATAAAAGGGGGAATGTAATCCTTTATTTGATATAGTGGAATATTAAGTTTCTCTTCCATAGCGACAATAAGTAATGCCAAAGAAAAAGTTTTCCTCTTTTGACATGTGAGACTAGAGAAGGAAATATGTGTGCTTGGTTCTTTATTCAATGACAAGTAACGATATTCATAGATAAAGAAAAAAGTAGATTACAAAACAGCAACAAATGTCAGTAGTTTATCTAGAGAGAAAGAAGTACCGTAATTCTGCAATGATAAATAGAACTGTAGAGTCATTACATTATATTTCTGGTAAGCCGAATCACCCAATCCAAACACAGCATAGTGAACTCCTTCTAGCCAATGTTGGTTCAGATTTCTTTGCAAGAGTTTCTTCCAAAACATCTACAAAACACAAGTTGAAATCAGAAAAAATAAGACACTTGAGATTTTGAATAAATTGCTGATCATTTAAAAGAAAGCCAACCTTCATGGAATCTGGTGCGTCTCCCTGCCCAGTGGTGGAAACAACAAAAACTACAGTCTTCTTATTTGGTAAGGAACTCTGGAATAGGAAAACAAGTAACATGCATATAAGACTGATGATCAAGCTGTTATTTAAAAGTTTTGCATTGTGTAACTCATGTGTCAGTTTCCAACAGTAAGTAGATTCAGGCAAGACAATGGTTTGTGAATATGCAGCTGAATGTAAACTAGTCGGCTCAATTAAAAAAATAAAATTGCAATTCACAACCATGAAAGGAAAGTTCAGCCAAAATTTTGCATATGCAATGCAAAACCCCTTTGTGATAACAGGGTTATGGGGGCGTCCGATTTTGTTCACATGCCAAACAAGCTGTGTGAACAAAATACACTTAAAATAGCGGGGTCTTCCATTTTAATGGAATCCATCACATCTCACACGGTTTAAACCAATGAGTGAGTGTGTCTTATTGCCAAATGCCAAAATGTGCAAACAAAATATTTTTCCGAGTATTGGCAGGGGGAAACCGATGCTATTTTGTTCATTTATGGAGGAGACCACAAACTCTCTATGAAAGCAAAAATATTGATAGCATAACCCTTAGCAATGTGTGTAGTATTCAACATCATATTGTTTAATCCAATTGTCATGAACTAAACCCACAAGCCAAAATCCCCAACTGTGATGAAATGCCTAAAATAAGGTTCTATTCATGGCAACAAGCTATAATGAACTAGGGCACCAAAAAAACCATGCCCTTCCTTGTAATTATTAGTAACCATAAACTGGAAGAGTATTAGTGCATAAATTGGATATAAAATTTAAAATCTATTGTTGCTGCATGATCCGTGTTTGGTTATGGGTGTATTGTATGGGGTTTCTTTGCTCCTAAATAATGAAGAAACATAAGTTGTGCAGATTTGTATAAAAACATTTTCTCAGGAACCAAACGGAGATTATAGAATTAAGGGGGAGGGTTTGGTTAAAAGACTTACGAGGTCAAAGTCGTCCATGGAAAGGACTGTGACGGGGCAGCCTCTGCGCTCGGCTTCGCGACCTAAACGTTCGGCTGCGTCCAAAGCATTCCCGGTTTGTGAAGCGTATAGTATCAGTAGCTTAGCCTCCTCTTCCATTGCCTCCCTTGCTCCTTCGTTCTCAAACAAAATTCACCAATTTCAGAGAGACACAGAGAGTAATGGAATCAACTAAAACCTACGTTGAAAGCATGTTTTTGTCAACACGCTTTATAGTTTAACTCAAAAAATGAAAGAAAAATGATTAGTCGCTCGAATTTACGTGACTTAAATAACTTGAATATCAAAATAATGTTATTTTATCTCTAAAATGATTTAAAGTCGTGAATTTTCAAACCACTAAGGCCTAGTTTGGGAAGATTGAAAAAAGACAAAAAGTCAAAAAGTCACTATCCTATTTAAGTCACATCATCTTATTTAAGTCACATCACCTCTCTAACACATCACTTCAAACCCAACCCAAACCCAACCCATATTTCATAAAAAATCAAAAAGTGCACTTATTTAGTCTTCCCAAACTAGGCCTAAATATTACGAAAATCCAAAATATTTTGGGGTTATAAAATAAGAGCATTAATGAACCTCAAGGTATGGTAGATCTTATCAAATATATAGTTGGTCTTTTGAGAAGTTGTTATTTTAGTAGATTATTTTAATTTTTAATTATTTAGGAGGTTAAAATTTTTATGTTTGGAAAGATAGTTGAATTTTTTAGTTAGATGTGATATTTGTGAAAGAAAAAGTAAAATGATTATAAATTTGATGTGATATATTGGTTCTGTTTGGTACAGTTTTTTTTCAGTTTATTTCAGCTTTCAGCTTAATTTAAGCTATTTTGATGTATTTGGTTTACCTTAACAATTCAATTTATAGCTTTTTCTAAGTCAGAAATCAGTTTATTTTTTGAGTGAGGCAGGAGAAGCTTAATTTATAAGTCAAAAATCAGCTTATGTTCATAGTTATAAGCTATAAGCTGTTAAGACATAAGGTATAAACACTTTCCCACAGCTTTACCAAACAGGACATTTGTCTTATTGACTATTTTAACTTATTTTGACTTCGTTTAGAAAGTGGGTTGACTTTTTATTTTTTTTAACTATTTTACCATGAGCTAAAAAGTTTGATTTGGAAAGGATTTTTTAACTTTTTAGTAAGGGTCGCAATCATTGTTGTGTGGCTAAAATAACAAAAAAAAAAAAAAACCTTGAAAATTAACTTGCCAAACGGAGACTTTGTCTTTTAGCACTATTTTAATATAAAAAAAAATTAAAAAAATTTCTCTCCGAACACCGCCCGTAGAGTTGTGTTTAGAGTTTCGTTTTAAAGAATGTATCGTTTTTCTAAAAAAAAATTATGTTGAAAGCAACGGTAATAAAATGCTGAAAGTGTTTTGAAAAAATTTACTGAAAGTGCGCTTTCAATATATATATATATATATATTTTCTTTTTTTATATTGCATTGCATTCAAACAATCAAACTGAAAACATATTTTTAATAATAAAAAATTATGCGAGAAAGAGAGACGAATGAGGGCGAGTGAGATATCGAAATCAAAAATATATGTATAACGCTAATAAAATGCAAAGTGTAAAATAAATTTAAAAAATTTTAAAAAACTAAAAGCATGTTTTTAACATAAATATAAACAATTGTGTTGAAAAAAAAATACTCTATTTTAAAAATATATATATTTGTTGTAAATTAAAAAAAACATATTTACAATATAAACTTCCTATTTCAACACTATTAAATATTTAAAAAATAAATAAAAATGTATTTATGAAATACGCTTTTTATTAACTCTTTCTATTAATTATTTTTTAAAAATTATGATACATTTTCTTTTTTTTCAATTAATTATTTAAATATATATATATATGATTTCAATTTTTTTATAATTATTTTAAAAAAATTAATGAAAACATGTTTTATAAATACACTTTCTTAGTTTAAAAAAAACGTATTTTGTAAATACTTTCACATGAAAACGAATTTACGAAACACATTTTGAGCCATTAGGGGAATTAATTTTAAAAGCAATCTTGTTATTTAATTTTGGAATCATTAAAAAAAAATGACCCCTAATATAAAAGTTAGAATAATTTTGTCAAAATTATTATTTCATTTGTTAGAATGTATAAAAATATTATATTTTACTTATATCATTTCAATATTTTATGTTATTTTGTCTCAATTACTACTCATAATATTTTTTGACAAATATATCAATTTTTTAGAAAAATATATAGTTACTGTCATTTTTTTTATCCAACAGCCCACTCGTCCTAAGATTTGTCCTTGGAAGTCTTCAATTAAAATTTAACTTTGTCACCGGAAGAAACATATCCTCGAACTCTAAGTTGTGTCTATTAGGTCTATCCCTTAAGATTTATTTAAAAAAATCTTGACAAAGTTAAATTTTAATTCAAGACTTGACACACTACTAAAGGCAGTTATTTTACAAGTTTAAATTATAATAAAAAAGATATTTTGATTTAAGGATTAGTCATGCGATGTTTTAAAGTCTAAATTTACAATTTTCTCACCTATGAGGTACATTTGAATTATAAATGTTACCTACATATGTATAAATTACTGTATTTAAAAATTGGTACAAATTTATTTATTTTTGGTTACGTGTAGTGAATTTATACATAGACATAGGGTATGAATTTGGAGCATGAAACGATGAAACCTGCTATTGGATTTTTTATTGTTTATTTATTTATTTTATTTTGTAACAAGAAACTTTGTTATTGGATGAAGAATCAGATGATTGAAATAAAACCCAGAGCAAAGCCCAAAATATAATGGGCTTAACATGGCCCAAAATAGGCTTTCTCACAAAAAACCAAATAATAGTGCTCATTCAAGAGAGGGCCCTTCTTAAGACCCAAAAATCCTCATTTGGACCTAACTGGGTTTGATTCTATTTGTACTAAGTACGTTCAATTAAAATTTAAAAATTTAAAATTTTAACTCTTATTGTAATTTAATATAAATTCATTAATAAAAATAATGTACATTAAATTTTAAATTATTATTATTATTATTTTTTTTTTTTTTAATGATACACCTTAATCACTTGGATAGATAAATTGTCCAAATAAAACTTGACATGGACTCCTGCTGTTCTCTCCCCATTTTGTCCTGTCCCCTCGGTTAAAAAAATAAATAAAAAATAAATTAGTGAAAATTTGGATCCGAAAGGGCAAAATAGCAATTTTCTGGTTTCATATTTATAATTGGTGCTCAATGGCTGAATTGGATTTCTCATTTTTGAAGTTTATGTAAAAGTAGGAAACATAAAGATAAATTTGTGAGTTACACAAGTTTTTGATAACTTTGTGAGTTACACAAGTTGAACCCAATGTGATATAACAATGTTAGCTTTTTTGGCTTTCGAAGGTTAGTATTGTAATTTTAAGCGTGCTAGTAAGGATCAATCAGTCTTTACAGAAAATTAGTTGCCAACCAATTATCAGACGATTGTGTTTTAATTCTTTCAGCTTCAATGAAGAAGACTTTTACTGGTGGCTTGTTTAGGAAAATTTAGTAAACAACAATTAAGTGAAGAATAATTGCAAAATTTCATTAAGTAAAAATAAAAAATTTACAATGATCTGACCCAGCCTCGTAGAAGTTTATAGCAACAAGTTATTTGAAACTACTCCTATGAATGAAGTGTAATATAGGAATTTGAAGTACAGAAATGTAAAGAACTGTAAAAAACTGGAAGGGAAAATAAAGTAGATAAAACTAGTTTTTTGATCTGAGTCTGGATCCTCCTTTTTGGGGCCTTCTCTGCTATTTATACTTCTTAATGATAACCGTCGAAGTGGGCTCCTAACCGTCGAAATGTCCCTCCATGATTGCTGATTATGCTCTCTTACAGTCAGCCCCACTACAACATGTTTGCAGTTAGGTTTCCCTCCTGATTTTAAATTTGAACCTTGTGAGTAACCGTTAGGCCACGTCACCTTATATCCCTTGATCATTCCAATGCTACACAGACCCATTATTACTAGTATGGGTTGACACGTGTCTGACTATGGTTGGCAATTTATTTTACCTTCCCAAATTGGCATTTTTTATGCCACGTGTTGAATTGTGATTGGCTTATACAAATTATACAGCCAACATTACCCCGCGCACTAATATACCCAATACTTGGTGATATTAGTGGATCAAAGCACTTCACCCACGTCCTAGGACATGCATGGGTTTTGTATGTTCTTAAAACTACAACCGACTGCATTAAATTCTTTTCTATACAGTGAACATTTCCCACTATCTGGGCATTCGAAAAGACTGATACAACTCGTATGGCCAAACAAACCTTCTTTGACATAGATCAAGCATACGAGGAGTTGTTAGATAATGATGTTCGCCCTCGAAAGAATTGTCATGCATTTATTAGCCACACCTATCCATCTCTATTTATTCAAGTCATGGAAGCTTTTGCAAATCATCGACCTTTAGATCACGAACATATTGTTCATAATTCTTTAGACTAAAACTTTGCAAAAATAGATATTGGAAGCTCTTCTTCTACCCCAAAACCTTCTACGTGGAATGAGGCTGCGACTTCCTTTTCTTCTTCTAAAGCTTCTAGCTCGGGAAGCTGGCCAGAACCTGAAGAATCTAAGCTAGAGAACGAATTAACCATCGATTCGTCAAATTCGCTGATCCTCTATCTTTCCTTCATTTTGCTTGGAGCTCGGTGGTTTACCGTTATGTATCCATTGATCGGCGACGCAGTTTGAAAGACAACTTACTTATAGCATGATACACATCTTCCATGCCTAGGAAGATAGTGTAAGCCACTCGTCGTCCAGAGGAAGCACAAGGGTACAACCCGTCATTCTTAGACCATAGGGCAAATTTTTGCTCTTCTGATTGGCTTGAATGTGTAAATAACCCCCAATTCCCTTCTTCCTTTGAGATGGATCATCCTGCACCTCCTCTTCCTCAAAACCCTCACTGGATGGAAGAATTAAGACTTACTCTCTTTGAGAATCAGTTTCTTCCTTCTTGCGAACCTTCAGCTCCGCCCACTATATTTGAGCGATATCAAGCTCAACTTCTGTTTGCAGCATTTTCTTACTTTCCCTTCAATGTTCTTGGGGGTGATATTCCTCTTAAGAACTTTCGATGGACTTGTGACATAATGACTCGAGGTCATGTCCTCAACTCCATTGCTCAAGCAGAACTTCAGATGTTTTTGGATAAACTCTCACTACTTCTTCA